AAAAAGAAAAGAAAGTATTTCATTGTTGCTTTGCAAAGACAATGAATTCTTCATGCACAGGTTTTCCCCATGTCTCATTTATTTAATTCCTCGATTAATATGTCTCAATTTATTTATTTTAATTCCTTAATTAATTATGGCCCTGGCCATTTTCTAGTTGGTGAACATATGAAACATATGTGCCACACACATGCACATTTTTAGTTATTTGCTTTGTTTTATGCATTTTAATTGATTTTTTTAATGAATTGAGGATAATGTCTAATTGTTAAATTCACCACTTTTTAAAATTATATGTAATTCAAAATGAATATATATGTAATATACATGTCTATAAAAGTTCTTAAATACTTATTTTCTTTGATAAATTTGAATTTAAAATGGGAATATTAACAATTATAAATATTATGTATCCCTATTCAAGAACAAAGGAGCTCTGGTAGCAAAGTGGTTATGAGTTGGGCTGCTTACCTCAGGGTCAGCAGTTTGAAACCAACAGCTGTTCTGTGGGAGAAAGATGAGGCTTTCTGCTCCTGTAAATATTTACAGCCTCTAAAACCCTATACACAGTCACCATGAGTCAGAACCGACTTCACAACACACCACCACCATCCAAGAACAAGATACATTTCTCCAACTACTCAAGTCTTATAGAAACTTCTTGTAATTGTTCTTATTGTGTCATTGAGTCAGTTCCAACCCATAGCAACCCTGTATAGGGTTTCTGAGGAGTGGACTGGTGAGCTTGAAGCGCCGACCTTACAGTTCAAAGAGACTTTGCAGTCAGGCACATTAACCCACAGTGCCACAACAGGGCTCCACATTTTTCTTCAGGTATTGTTGTCATTCCCATCTTACAAGCTGACTAAACCAAGGGACCTATACACATTATGCTGCAGTCTTGCCATCCTTTCTTCTAAGCCTCATTTTGTTCTACTTATTTAAGGCTGAATTCTTTCTTCTCTGTCAGCCCATGATATATTCATTATTCCTCACCAACACTAATGTTCGAGTGCTTCAGTTCTTCTCTTTTTGATTGTCCAGTTTTCACACACATATGGATGACGCTTGGTACTGTAGTGGCTAGCATTTGGCTGCTAACTGAAAGGTCATGTAGTGTGAACCTATGGGCTGCTCCCCAGGAGAACAATGTGGTAGTCTGCCTTATAGCTTTGGAACCCTACAGGACAGTATTACTCTGTTCTATATGGTCAATGTAAGTTGGAATAGAATCACTGATAATGGGTTTTATGAGGTGATTGGAAAGACCATTCAATAGGTCTTACAAATTTTAATCATCAAAGTGATATCTTAGCTTTTGCTTAAACAGAGAGCCACATCTACCCCTACTTCCAAGGTAGCAAATACAGTAAATTCTGAGTATTTTAGGTCTGCATGATGAATTTGGCTGCTTTTTCAAGACTTCTGGTCCCTTTTTTTTTTTTTTTTTTGGCATGCGTTAAGTCATTTGTTCCACTATTTGCCCATGGCCTTGTTTTGACTGATGATATGGGGCTTTTTCCTCATCTCTTTCCACAGACGTAGTCAATGTGATTTCTATATATTCCAACTGGCGAGTTTCATGTATATAGTCATGTCTTATACTGTCTAAAGAAGGTATTTGCAATAAATAAATCATTGATTTTGCAGAATTATTTATGTGTGAATCATGACAAGCTATGGACAATATTGCAAAGTATAACTATTCTGGAACACTTAATTCTGCTCATGAGGGATCTGTACATGGACCAAGAGGCAGTTGTTCAAAGAGAACATGGGAATACTGGATGGTTTAAAATTAAGAAAGGTGTACAACAGAGTTGTATTCTTTCACCATACTTATTCAACTTGTATGCTGAGCAAATAATCCAAGAAGCTGGATTATATGAAGAAAAATGTGGCATCAGGATTAGAGGAAGATTCATTAACAACCTGCGATATGCAGATGATACAACCTTGCTTGCTGAAAGTGAAGAGGACTTAAAATACCTACTGATGAAGACCAAAGACCACAACCTTTGGTATGGATTGCATCTCAATGTAAAGAAAACAAAAATCCTCACCACTGGACCAATAAACAACGTGCTTATCAACAGAGAAAAGATTGAACTTGTCAAGGACTTCATTTTTCTTGGATCAATTATCAACACCCACAGAAGCAGCACTCAAGAAATCAAACTATGTATTGTACTAGGCAAATCTGCTGCACAAGACCTTTCGAAAGTATTGAAAGCAAAGATGTCAGCTTGAGGACTAAGATGTGACTGACCCAAGCCATGGTATTTTTAATAACCTCATATACATGTGAAAGTTGGACAGTAAATAAGGAAGACCATAGAAGAATTGATGCTTTAGAATTATGGTGTTAGAGGAGAATATTGAAAGTGCCACGGGCTGCTAATAGAACCAACAGACCTGTGTTAGAAGAAGTGCAACCAGAGTGCTCCTTGGAGGCCAAGATGGCCAAATTTCATCTCTCATACTTCAGACATATTGTCAGGAGGGACCAGTCTCTGGCGAAGGATATCATGTTTGGTAGAATGGAGGGTCAGAGAAAAAGAGGAAAACCCCTAGGAGATGTATTGGCCAAGTGGCAGCATCAAGCTTGGCAACAGTAGTGAGGTTGGCCCAGGATCTAGCAGTGTTTTGTTCTGACTCGATGGCACCTAACAACAACAACAGGTCATTTATCCATTTTCCAGTTTGCACATTTTGTTGATTTGGATTTTCAAATTTTGTTTGTCTTGTTTTCTTGGTCACTGAGATATCTTTAACTTATCTTAGTATCTCTAGTGTGATTTTTTTGTGAAAACAATGTAGTCCTTTAATTTAATTCATATCGTATAGAGTTGACATTTCAATGCATTGTTGTTGTTATGTGCTGTGGAATCTTTTCCAACTCATCACGACCCTGTACAGGGTTTCTGAGGCTGTAAATCTTTATGGGAGCAGAAAACCTCATCTTTCTCCCGTGGAGCAGCTGGTAGTTTCGAACTACTAACCTTGTGTTTCATAGCCTGATTCATAACCACTATGCTACCACTACACTACCAGAGCTATCAATGCATTAATTGGTGTTTTAATTATAAATTATAATCTTCTTTGGGAATTTTCAAAATTTACATCATAAAGAAATGCTGTTTATAAACTAACATTATGTACATGTATATAAACAAAATTTTTGTATTTCACCAAGGTAAATTTTAAATAGAAAAGAATTATTAAGCAATTGGAATTGAGAGTTAAGTGGTAATTTTATTTTTCAGTGTGAGCATATGGGTGCTGACACGGCTATCATCACTCAGAGAATTTTCCAGGTGATTGGACTTGTCAGTGCTGTAAGTGTTTGCCATCTTACTGCTTAGCATATGTTTTTACTTCTTGTATAATGTGTATAGGTCCCTTGGTTTAGTCATCTTGTAAGATTGGAATGATAATAATACCTGCTTTATAAGGTCATTGGTAGAATTAAATGAAATAGAGTGCTTGGTAAGAATCTTACAAAAATGTATGCATATAATTATAAAACAAAGCTCTCATTGTATCATTACTTTTATACTGATATGAATATTTATTGTAGGGTTTTAATACAGACTTCCAGTTTAACTGTTAAACTCTAATACTTCATTAAAATTACTTTCACTTTCTATTGCAATCTATACATTTCTTCCCAAATCTCCAAATGTGTGTCAAAACCTATCTGCACTCTGACTGTAGGATTTATCTTAGTCAACTTTTAAGAAAAGACAAATACATCAGTTTTCAATGCAATCTTGCTTTTCAGTACACGCTGTCAATTTGTCAAGAAGCATTTGTATTCTCTTATCAAAAAAACCCAATAACATTTTAGGCTGAACTACGAATACACTGCTTTCTTTACTTCTTTATCAGAGGTGAATCTTCATCCTCAAAGGGCTGCTTTCAGGGGCCCAAATAAAATCAGGACTATAGGTAGGATGCTTTAACACCTGAAAATGAAGCTTTTGCAGAGTGTCAATAATGTGGGCAGAGATATCAGGATATGCATTGTCATGCAAGATCACAATGCCCTTGGATAATTTAGGTTTCAGGAAGCACTTCACTGAGTATCCACTATAAGGACTACTTTTGATTGTTTAACTTTTTTCCTAATAGTGTTCAAATACTGGCCCTTGAGAATTCAAGAAAACTGTAAGCATTAATTTTCCAGCTGATGGTTGACTTTTGAACTTTTTCTTGGTCAACAGTTGAGGATATTTCCATTCCATACTCTGCTGTTTACTCTCTGGCTTGTAGTTGATGACAGAATCATTTCACATGCCTACTCAACGTTAACATTAGCTGTGGATGTTGACTGGCATTTTAATATAATTGGAATGTGGATAATTTTTTACTCATATTCATGTTTGTTTTTTTTAAAAACATAACTTGTACATGTATTCTCTTTTAGATGTTTACTCCATTTAATGTTAAATTAGTTTTGTCTTCACTGGAACTCTGGAGAGATGGCAATAAAATTTCTATAAGTGGAGAAGTTAATGAATTATTGCAAAGATTTTTAAACTGGAAAAATACTTACCTTGTTTTGCGTCCCCATGATGTGGCATTCTTACTTATGTAAGTACAGTACCTTGGCAAAACTATAAATGCCAACTCATTGGCAATGAGCAGATTCCTACTCGCAGTGATTCTATGGGACAGGGTAGAACTACTCGATAGTGTTTCCAGAGTAGACTGCCTGCATCGGTCTTCATGGTGACCTTGAACCACGGACATTTCAGCTAGCAATGGAGCTCTTAATCACTGTACCACCAAAATTCCGTGGTAATATTTTAGTTAATAAAAACAAAACATTTGATTCGAATACCTTATAAATTTTATCGTTTTAGAGAAATAAAAAACACTGTGTCACTTCCTGGCATAAGGCACTTAATGGAAATAGTATTTTTTAATGTCAAAGTTTTATAGCACATCAGAATTATTTATATAAATCAGCAAGCTTTCTGATATGTAACTGAAGTTCACTGTTGTCCAGAACCTCTCTTTTTAAACTTTTTAAATCTCCAACTTAGAGAATAAAGAGAAGCCAATTTAGGAGTGCCTTAGCTTTTTACTGTACTGTTTCCTTAGTCACTGAGCAAGCAAAGGTTACCTGAAAAAAGCAAGTATAGAAAAAAGGGACAATAAAATGATGAGCACCAAGATTGAGAGTGGTATGATTATTTTCTTATGAGGCTAGTAAATGGTTTCTATATATGTTTACAGAGAAAGTATTCTCAAAGTACTGGGTGGAATAGAGTGACCTGAAGAGCTTTGTATTTTTGTTTCCTGTTAAAGTAAGAACTTCTTACAATTGTTAAAGTAAGATTTCTTACAATTATGCTTTATTTTGTTTTGTTAAAAACCTTAATATGTATAAACCAAAGTTGTAATACCAATTTGCACAATTAAAGGCACATTAAAAAAAAAAATTATTCTTATTCATGTGATCCTAACCATTGGGTATAAAAATGTGAAGAGATGAAAGTCTATATATGGATGGGGAAGAGGGAAAGTTTATGGTTTCAGTGAAAACATATTAACAAAATAACATGGCCACTTACAGAAATAGATACTTTCCCTGAATTTACTTCATGAGCAAATAATGTAAAATATCATTTTAACAAATATACTAGAAAAATATTTCTCTAGATGCATTCTATATTCTATGAGCAGAGTAAGTAGTCTATCTTGTGGAAATACAAAATAAATTGCAAAGCAATAGTCACACTTTTGTAAATTTTAAAAACCTCTATGGTGCTATGGACTCTTGGTATGGCACTGTAGGATCAGTACTAGACTGTGAATCATGAGGTTGGTAGTTCAAACCCACCAGTTGCTCCTCAAAAACCCTATAGAGGGTTGCTATGAGTCAGAGTGCCTCAAAGGCACTTAACAAAAACAGTATGGTGCTATAGAAGTCCTGGTGTAACATTTGTATAACAAAATTGTTGTTGTTGTTACGAGCCATAGAGTCAGTTCTGACTCATAGCAACCCTGTACAGGGTTTCCGAGGCTGTAAATCTTTACGGGAGCAGAAAGCCTCATCTTTCTCCAGTGGAACAACTGGTAGTTTTGAACTGCTGACCTTGTGGCTCGCAGCCCAATTTGTAACCACTACACTACTGTTGTTGTTAAGCTACTAGACAGTGAATAAAGGTGACCTGGTGTGGCCTGCACAAGGTCAGTGATTCAGGGCCAGTGGTTCAAGATAGGAGATTCAAACTCACCACCCACTCCTTGGAAACCTTATATAGGGTCACTATGATGAGTCAGAACTAACTTCAAGGCACTAAACAACTAATTATTTTAGCAATTATATATTACACGTCATCCTGCAGGATAATATATAAAAAGTTCTTTCCTCTTCTTTTTAGTAGTAGGACAGGAATAAACATATATAAATTTTTCTTAATTCTTTCCAGCCCTTCTTATTCTTCCATTTTTACATATAACCTAGAGTTTTACATAGGTCCAGAAGACTGATTCTGATGAAAACCACATATAACTCCAGAGTTGATTCTGTCCTGTTCTCAGCTGTGTTACTAAGATTGTTAAATTTAAAGCATTTGATGTATAATTATTTACATTGCATGCTCATTTGGTTGGTTTATTTTTGCTTATCTTTAAAATTTTCTATAGGGAATATTAATTTTTGGACATGAAGAAATCATATGAAGATATTTCATCTATTATTTTTATTTTAAATATATAACTTTTTATTCATTTCTAACATTGTTTTCTTAATTGCTGTTAAGTCAGTTCTGACACATATTGAACCTGTCTAGGGTTTTTAAGAAGTAGCTTGAACCACCGACCATTCAATTCAAACTAACTTTACAGGCTAGCTCAGTAACCCACAGGGCCACACCAGGTCACTTGTATTCACTGTCTATTTTTGTTATACTAATGTTATAAGTGGAGTCCTGGTGTGGTGCTATGAATTAATGCACCAGACTGCAAAGCTGTTTAAACTGTAAGGTCGGCAGTTCTAGCTCACCAGCTGCTCCTCAGAAACCCTATACAGAGTTGCTATGGGTCATGATCGACTTAACAGCAACAATGTTATAAGTAATTATTTATGGATTTAATATGAATATACAACATTTTTTATTGTTAATTTTCCCCATTTTTACACATAATAAGTTTGTGAATTTTTAAAATTAAGTTACAGAAAGAAATCAAGCTATGTTGGTGCAACATTAAAAGGAATGATGTGTGATAGAAAAAATTCAGGAAGTGTTGCTCTGGTAGGTAAGATTAACTTCGCTTTGCTTAAATATGTTATTTTTCTGGTAGCTATCCAGGGAAATATAATGTTGAAGAAATCATTTAACTATCTAAATATAATAATATCTGCATAACTTTTTCAGATTATCAGTCAATGACACAAATCAAACTATTTGAAATAAAAACAGTCCCTTTAATCTGGCATTTTTGTCTTTTGATTCTCATCCTTTAACAAGACATCACATGTTTTTTTAAAGTTTTTATTTTGAATTGAATGAAAGATTATCCATTTTACATTAATATTTTGTTTCATTGCAATGATTACAATAAGTCATTGCACAGATTTACCTCTATTTCTTTTTTTAAATTTATTTTTATGTATATATGCAAAATGGAAAATACATGTTTATTTAAATGTCCAAAGGGTACATTTTGCAATTTAGCCTCCTGCAGGCAGGCACACAACCTTTCTCAGTCCAAAAGCCTAGAGACTTCAGCTGCTATATCTCTCTATGCCATTGCCTCTGCCTCTGTATCTGCTGTCTCTGCTTTTTGGGTTAGGATTCCATTCTCTACTCATGCTCTTGGCTCTTGCTAGTCCTAGGGTCCTCTGTTTCTGAAATGAAAGATTAAGTAACTACTCCCTCTTTTAGTTACACATCTTCTATATTTACAGTTGTGATTATCACAATTAGTACTGATAACACTTAGCATTGACTAATAGCATCCTATGCCATCTTCTCCCATTCCCTTTCACCAGACCCATCTGGAAAAGAGGATAACTATTCAGTGGGGATTCTACCTTACCCCCTCATTTTGAAACTAAGCACACTCAGGAAAGCTTGTTAGCCAGCCACTTTGTGTATTTGTTGTTGTTGTTGTTAAGTGCTATCAAGTCAGTTCCAACTCATAGAGACCCTGTGTAGGGTTGTCGATGAATGACTGGTGAGCTTAAACCGCTGACCTTGCAGTTCAAACCAACCTAGCAGTCCAGAGCATCAATCCAGTGTACCACACCAGGACTCAGTTTGTGTATACTGCTACAAAAGACCTTTTGAAGTGTTGAAGAGCAAAGATGTCAGCCTGAGGACTATGGTGCACCTAACCCAAGCCATGGTATTTTCAATAACCTCATATGCAGGTGAAAGCTGGACAGTAAATAAGGAAGACCATAGAAGAATTGATACTTTTGAGTTATGGTGTTGGAGGAGAATATTGAAAGTGCCATGGGCTGCCAAAAGAACTAACAGATCTGTGTTAGAAGAAGTGCAGCCAGAGTGCTCCTTGGAGGCCAGGATGGCCAAACTTCATCTCTCATAATTCAGACATATTGTCAGGAGAGACCAGTCGCTGGAGAAGGATATCATGTTTGGTAAGGTGGGGGGGTCACAGAAGAAGAGGAAGATGAGACGGATTGACCAAGTGACAGCATCAATGGACTCAAGCGTGGCAACAATAGTGAGGTTGGCCAAGGATCAGGCAGTGTTTTGTTCTGCTGTGCATAGGTAAGTCATTACCGACTCGATGGCACCTAACAACAACAAAAACATAGCCTTCCCTATTTTTGATAGCCAGTGTCTAAGTTGTCCATCCCTATAAACACAGTACACTGAGGATACAAGCATGTTCCTTTATATAAAGAATCTTCCATTCCAATTGGAATTTTGAGTAACTGCATTCATAAGCAAAAGTCTGGTCCAGAAAATTTTAGAAATTGACACTTGCTCAGAGTATCAAATATCTTTATTTTCATCTAGCCAGGTTCTGGTCAGCTCAACCCTAGCCTCCCAAGCTAGGTTAAATGGGTACCAGCTACATGTTTGAAACTCATACACATCTCAATGCACTTCAAATCAACTGCCCCTTCACTCTCAACCCTAACCCCCATGGGTGAAGTCAGTGCCCTTGGGCTCAGGATCTCACACAGTTCCTTAAACTTCTAATCAGTTAGCTTTCCTGCTCCTCATCTCTCAAGGTCTATGGGTGTCAATACAGCATGTTCAAACTCAACCTTTGTCTTCATTGCTGCATTTCCCCTAATTCCACTCACCTAGGTGGTCACTAGCAAGTATTTGACTCTCAGTGTCCCTTTAACTTACAGTCCTAAAAGGGGGTTTTCTCTGATGGGCCCACTTGCCTTGCTTTGATGCCTGGGAAACTCAAAAGGTCAAAATGTCAGCTTTTTTTCTTTGCTTCAATCTCAGAGTCTCCCAGCAAACTGTGTTGGTATGCATATCTTTTCAAATGCAAATGTAACCAACTCTGAAGGTCCTGGGTGGAGTTCAGTATTCCACCTAAAGCCCCATACTCTAAAAAGGCTTAAAAGCCTATTTTTTTCCAGGCAATTACTAACCTCCCTTTTAGCAAATTCAATCAAGGTTAGGCTGAAGATGGGCTTACAAACTTTCTGTAATCATAATTCCAAATATTCCTATCACACATGTATGTCTATTTAAAATAATAGGCAGAAGGAACCAATATCCATAAGGCAATCTAACACATAAACCTTTTAAAACACTCAAGTTTAATCTTTTCTTCTCCCTTGGACTATCCCCTTTATATGCATATGACTTTGGTTCTCTGGAAGGGACTGTAGTGGGCCTGAACCCAGTATAAGCTATCATTGTTAACCAGCATTTCTTAGGCTCCAGGCAACTCCAGACACTGCAACTCTCCCCTCTGCTGAAATATTGTATCGCATACCCCTTTGTTCTTTCTCATGCAAAACCTCACAATTTCATAGGTCTGGAGCTATTGCAATGAATCTTGCTCAAAGCACCAAATGTGTAAACCAAGTAGGGACCATGTCTGACTTCCTATGACTCTACAAGAGAGAAAGAGGACCAAACTCAAAATTAGTCCAAGGCTGATTCTCATGAGGTTAGATATGCCTCCACCCTATAGCATTGCCTCTAAAATTAGTCAGACTTGAAAGCCAGTTTATAAAATCACCCTTATGATTTTGTTTTTTAAGAACCCCACTCTCAGTACCACATGTTTAATGCTGGGTTTTCTAGAGAAGCAAAACTATTCAAATATATATATGCACATATATATATAAAGAGAATGCAGTACAATCTGCTGTTTGACAGAGGTAAAGGATTGGAACTGGGGATCTTACTCATGCTTAAATTAAGTGACCTTTTCTTCTCTCTCATTTATCTGTGACTCCATCCTTCATCCTTTTGTCTCAGTTTCCCTCTTTTGCCTCACATCTAATTTACTCTTTTCCCTGTGTCTGACTATTTATAGTTTGAAACACTCACAGAATATATGTGGGTGATTCTACTACATGATATACAGTCCTGGTGAGGCACTGTGGGTTAATGCTCTGGACTGCAAGGTCAGCTAGAACCATAAGATTGGAGGTTCAAGCTCACCAGCTGGTCCTCAGAAACCCTAGAGAGTTTCACTATAGAATGGAACCAAAACAACAGCACTTAACAACAAGAGCAACGTCAACAACCTAGTATACTGAGGAGGCAAACATTGTCCTTGATATTAAGAGTCTTTTCCCTTTGGTTGGAATTTTGAACAACTACAACAAGATATCCTATTTAATGATTATAATCTATTTCAATCTTATTACAATTGCTTGTCAATTTTCATAAACTCAAATTTTGAATTTTTGAAATTTCAATTCAAAAGTTCAGATTTTTGTACATTTTCTGACTTAGACCTCTGCTATCATCTGATAGCGTAGTGGTTACGAATCGGGCTGCGAACCTTAAAGTCAGCGGTTCGAAACTACCAGCCGCTCCGTTGGAGAAAGATGAGGCTTTCTACTCCCGTAAAGATTTACACCCTCGGAAACCCTGTACAGGGTCGCTATGGGTTGGAACCTACTCGACGTCACTTAACAACAGCAACATCATCTGATAGTATATATAATATTTAATATGGTGGTGGTTGTGGTTATATGCCATGGAGTTGGTTCTGACTCATAGCAACCCTGCATAGGGTTTCTGAGGCTGTAAATCTTTACAGGAGCAGAAAGCCTCATCTTTCTCCGGTGGAAAGGCTGGTAGTTTCAAACTGTTTAACTTGAAGTTAAATAGTCGGAACCGACTCCACAGCACATAACAACATCTTGAGGTTAGCATCCAACTCATAACCACTATGCTTCTTAATATTTAATATAAATCTACAGTATTTTGATACAACACAGTATTTAATGCTTATCAATACTAAAAATGAGATATTATTACCATTTAGTGCTACAAAGGACATAAGCCAAGAATGAGAAAATCAACTGGCAAATTATTTAACTTGTGCAGCTATTATATTGTTGTTATTGTTACGTGCCATGGAATCAGTTCCGACTTGTAGCGACCCTGCATAGGGTTTTCAAAGCTGTAAATCTTTACAGCAGAAAGCCTCATCTTTCTCCTGAGGAACAACTTGTAGTTTGAAACTACTGACCCTGAGGTTAGCAGCCTGATTCATAACCACCAACTTACCAGAGCTCATCTGTGCAGATATTACAGATGCATTCAAACTTGGTGTTTGTTTTAGAATATTATCTTCGCCAAACTATGGTGATTCTAATTATTCAAATTTGCTTTCATGTCATGTTTGGTAGAGTACAATGTCTTTTGGAGTTGGTGCAAGATGATATAATAAAACTTTGTGCACATGTTATAAACCAGCATAAAACACAAATAGATGAATAAATTAGATGCTGCACATATTGTATTTTTTTTATTCATAGTACAAACTTTGAAAACATCTGAGGCTAGCAATTTTTACAAATCTGGAAGGTTGGTATTGGCTGGTTTTACACACTCAGTTATGTGCAGCAGTGCAAAGCCACAGCACAGTCCCATGTTGCGGGGCCTTCAAAGATTAATGGAAAACATAGCAGAACCCAAGGCCTTTGCAGACGGATTAACTGTTAAAAAGAGAATGCAATCAAACTGAATGGTCTATGCCTAGTCCCCTTTCTTTCAAAAAATCCAACTAGAAGTCCTTTTTATACATTTTTTGGGCAAAGTGATGATAGAAAGAGGGTAGCAGAATGGACTTGACATCACTTAATGGCAAAAAACAACAATATTCTAAATATTTTACAACATGTAATCTCCCAATGATACTTCCAATCCAATTAAGAATTAGGAGTCCCTGCAAAGTATTTTCAATAATATTCAGTATGCCATCCAAAATTCCTGGACATAAGAAACAGAACAATCTAACTAGAGAAAAATAAATCAATTGAAATGGAATATGTGTTGATTGAGATAATGGAATTGGGAACAATGATTTAAATTATATCCTGAATAATTTTATATTTGTTGAAAAGTTTCATTTGTAAATAAAAATCCTCCCTCCCTACATATTAAAAATAATACAATACTGAGAGAAATTTGGGAGTTGCATTATATGATAAGCACTGGACTGCTAACCACAAGGTCAGCAGTTCAAACCCACCAGCTGTTCCTTGGAAACTCTATACAGGGTTACTTTGAGGCAGACATATGTGATGGTACTTAATACCAATAACAACAACAACCCACACAAAAACTGTAAAGACACACGTATTCTTAGATTAAAAGCTCAATATTGTCAAGATATCACAGGAATCTCAAATTAGTCTAAATACCAATGCAAACTCAAGGAGACCAAAGCATTATTTGAGAAACTGACAGACTCCTTAAAATATGTTATATAAACACAAAAGACTTAGAATAGCTAAACAATTTGAAAGATGAACAAGGTTGGAAATTCCTGGAAACAGAATAGGCAATTAAAGCATTGTGGTGTTGGAGTGAGGTTAAATATATAGATCAAACATACAGGGTAATATGTTTAATGACAAAAGTACAATTATCATTTGTATTTAAACAAAACAAAACAAAAATTACAAATTTGTTATCTTATCAGGGTATTAATGTAAGTCCCACTTCTTACCATACAGAATAATTAATATGAATCATAGACTTATACTTGAAAGCTAGAAACATTAAAATATTGTAGAATATCTGTAGTTTCACCATATTTTTGTTCCACTGGACACAAAAAGCACTTACTTGTTAATTTGAAATTTGTAAACACTAATAAAAAAGTGATACATCTACTAGGAAAAGTTATATCTGTTAAAGTCATCATGCATCATGACCACATTACATAAAAAACAAAAAATCTATAAAGAAAAGACAAAACAAAAATTGAAATGGTTAAGTGATTCATGAAAACCACATGTGTGTCAGATTAGAACTACAATTTAAACATCCACTTATTACCTGTTTTAAAGTGCCATCGAGTTGGTTCCAACTCTAGTAACCCTGCATTGGGTTTCTGAAGAGCAGCTGGTGAACTTGAACCACTGACCTTGCAGTTCAAACAGACCTTGAACTTCAGCATATTAACCAATAGCACCACACCAGGACTTCTGGAGGAGTATAAATTAGTTCAACTTTTTTGAAAACCTGTTAAGATATGTCGCCTCAAATTTAATCTATGTCTTCATTACTGGTAGCGTTGTTGTTGTTAAGTACCTTGGAGTCGGCTCCGACTCATAGTGACCCTGCACAGGGTTTCCGAGGCTGTAAATCTTTACGGGAGCAGAATGCCTCATCTTTGTCCCACGGAACCGCTGGCTGGTAGCATAGTGGTTATTAATTGGGCTGCGAACCTCAAGGTCAGCAGTTCGAAACGATCAGCTGTTCCATGGGAGAAAGATGAGGCTTTCTGCTCCCGTAAAGATTTACAGCTTCGGAAACCCTGTACACAGGGTTGCTATGAATCGGAACCGACTCCACGGCACATAACCACTACCAGCTATGTCAAATAAAGTTATACAAGAATGTTTTCAGCAGCTTTATTCCAAATAGGGTTGTCCTTGGAAACCCTATACAGTGTTGCTATGAGTTGGAACTAACTTGACAGCATTAACAACAACATTCAAAATAAGAGACCTGGTGACTAAGCAGTTTAAGCATTAGGCTGTTAAACACAAGGTCGGTGGTTCAAACACATTAGCTGCTCCCCAAGAGAAAGATGATACTTTCTGCTTCCATAAACATTTCCAGACTCGAAAACCCAAGGAAGTAGGTCTACTGTGTCCTATAGGGCAATTGTGTGTCAGAATCAACTCGATGACAGTAGGTTATTCTAAATAGCCCCAAACTGTAAATAATGCAAGTGTCCCTCATTTGGAAGATGAGTAGATATATTGCAGTATATTAATGCAGTGAAATGGTTTACTTCTTAACACCAAAAATTCAGATTGCCTGCTTTTTACAGGTTTCAAATTCATCTACACTTTAATAGAAAAGTAAACATTGAATGATAAGGAAAAAAGTCTAGCCAAGAAAATGTGACCAAATAAAACCAGTATGAACTTTTAAAGGGTCATGAACTACAATGTAGCACTATTTCACTTACAAGGGCTAACAATCCTAATAAGATTTTGTCAAAATACAATCATGTACAAAATTTGATAAATGCTACTCATGGAACCCTGGCTAAATGCCCAGCTGTTTCCTGAAAGGTTGGCAGTTTGAACCCATCAGTGGCTCCATGTGAGCAAAGGCTTGGCAAGCTGTTCTCATAAACAGTACAGCTCAGGGAACCCTATGGGGGGCAGATACAATCTGTCCTACAGGGTCATGGTGGGTCTCAATTTATTAGATGGCACACAGGAGCATATTTTTTACTTTTAAATTTTGCATAACTAAAGTTATGGAATAAGCATATAATTTAACCATATAATTAAGTTAAACTGCTCTCTTTCTCACACATATACTATATACTAATAACTATATATATTTAAACAATAATTATCACTATTGCAGATGTTAGGTGCCATCAAGTTGGTTCGGATTTAGAGTAATATTATATACAACAGAATGAAACCCTGCCTGATCCTGTGTTGTTCTCAAAATTGTTGTCAAATTTGAGCCTTGTTGAAGTCACTGAGTCAATCCAACTATTGGGCATTCCTCTTTTACACTTACCCTCTACTTTGCCAAGAACAATGTCCTTTTCCAGTGACATGATTATAAAAATGATTATAAATAAATAAGATGTTACATTGAAATTTGGGATAAGTCTGATCATCAATAATTTTTCACTATTCATTTTGCCTACCAGCAAAATTTCAAATATTAATTTTCATATTGCTCTTACATTGACAATATATGAAATATGTCAATAGTGAAGGCACTTTTCCTGGTAATTTATTAGATGGCTTTAATAAGTTTTATCCAATTGATTTTCAATTTTTCTTAGAAAGATTATATTATTCTTCAGATGAATGAACTGTGATTCATAAAACTGTGTTTTTCTTGTTTCTTTGTTATTTTTAGTACTCTGGAAGCATAACTCTAGAAGCATTTGCAGTTATTATAACTCAGTTATTGAGTCTCAGTATGGGAATATCATTTGATGACATTAATAAATGCCAGTGCTCAGGATCTGCATGCATAATGAGTCCAGAAGCAGTGTAAGGTGTTTTATATTACAATTTAAAAAGAAGATAATCTTTGCTAGTTTAAATTATGGATGCATAGCTGTAAAAAGAAATGTTAGTGACAAAGTATTAGCAATGGCCAGTGATTCCCAAATAAGAATATATATTCTAATGTCCATGCTACATATGCATTTCCATATCCCTGGTTATCAAATACCATTTTTGTATTTTACAATGTGACTTAAATGTCATCACTATATTTATTTGAAAAGCATACAGTTAATGAAGGATTTGATGGGCAAATGTAAGCAGTAACCTCTATTGCTCTTGTTAAATGCGGTTGATTCAAACTACCTTGCAGTCCAGTGCTTCTCCCACAGCACCATACCAAGACTCAAGTATCATTATAGAATCATAATGTCTTCCTTGTTTGCATTTTCCTTCTTCATCTTCACTGGTTCAGCTTTAAGTCTTAACACCTATAAATATCAGGAAAGCTGTCATCCAGATTTTTACTCATCATTACTATGGGATTCTTGGTGTGGCGTTGTAGGATAAGCACGGAACTGCTAACTGCAAGGTCAGCATTTCAAACTGACCAAGCACTACTCAGAAGTCCCATACGTGGTTGCTGAGTCAGAACTGACTTAACTGATGGCACTTAACAGCAAAAACAATAACAATACAGTAGGACAATTTTGGTGTCTTTATCATGCTCTTAAGAAGTAGCCAAACCCATTTGTTACCCTTGCCTCTATTACAGTACACTATGAGTTCACCAGAGTATTATAGTTATAAGATACATTTAACCAGGGGATTAAAGAAAATCTTATATAGTCAGAGATGGAAGCTACTATATAAATGTTCTACACTGTCAATTTTCATAGATTAAGTAGGCTGGGAAGTATTTTTTGTTTCACTTGTTAATGCAGTGCTATTTGAGATACCTTCATTGATCACGTAATTATCCACGCTTTTCCTGTCACCACCTTAAAAAGGAGCTGCAGTCAAATCCTTATTTCAGGCTATGATTTTAGGGGTACTCACATTATAGAAGTTGGTATCAGATGTGATCGTCGGAACCAGACTTACAGAATGAGAGTGTAGAAATGAATCTCTAACTGGTTCAATGAAACAACAATAGCCATGACAGAAGACGGCAAAAATCTTACTTGAGTCTGAGTCTGTTGTTTTGTTATTGAGTGCCATGGAGCCAGTTCTAATTCACAGTGACACTGTATATGATTTTGATAACAAATGGGTTGGACTGAGGAGCAACAGGTGAGTTTAAACACAAGTCAGACTGCTAACCTCAACATCAGCATTTCAAAACTAACAGTCATTCCAGACAGATGAGCTTTCTGCTCCTGTAAAGATTTACAGCCTCAGAAACCCTATGCAGGGTTGCTATGAATCAGTACCAACTCCACGGCATGCCACCACCACCATCACCACCACCACCACCTTGTGGTTAACACTTAAGTACTTATTAAACAGCACCACACCAGGATTCCCTACTGTAGGGGAAGGGTGACACAAACTCAGCCTGCCCAAATCCTTTAAAATAATGCTTCTCTTTCTAATTACCTGCTCTACCTCCTTTCACTGCCTTCAAATTAATTGCTAAAATTAGATCAAACAGCCTGAATGGGGAAATGTAATCCCTGATTGAAGAAGATGACTCCTGGGAATAATAGATATTGTTAGGAATGGTGTCCTGGTATGGCATTGTAGGATAAGTACTTGACCATAAATTATTTAAGGTCCATGGTTCAAATTCACCAGCCACTCCTTGAAAATCCTATACAGGGTCATTATGAATCAGAACTGACTGTTGTTGTTATTAAGTGGAGTCAGTTTTGACTCAGACCACCCTGTATAGAGTTTCCAAGGAGCAGCTGATGAGCTTGAACTGCCTACGTTGCAGTTCAAACTGATGGCATGTAACAACGACATTGCTAGGAATAGATGATGCCTGTGGCAAAGAATATTCAGAGTTGGAACTAGGTATCATAGTATAAGACTGTTTAAAGACTATTGACACTGTAATATTATACCATGATTGAGAATTACACATTGTGGCAAGGATACTTAGAATAAGTATTAAAATGCTACTGCAATGGCGCCTAGAAGTCTGAACAGAATAAAATGAGCAGAGATGTTAACACTATATGGGAAGAATATTGAGAAAAGAGGTCAGAAATCTTGATACATATATTTATCATTTGAGATCAGATAATCTATTACCTGATCATATTTTCCAGGGTGGGCTACAACATGCTTCCTTTACTAAAACAGTAACTCACTAATAACAGGAAGATGGGATTCACTGATAAATGCAATGATGCATGTTCCACAGAGGTCAAGATTATCAGTGATATAGCCTTCCATGAAACTTAGCTACTTACTGTCATTTTGAATTATAGATGTCTGTAATATCTGTTAGAGGCATGGTTGACGAATTTATACCACAGGCAGCAAGACCAAGTTAACCACTCACAGGATTTGCTGTCTAAGGATTTATATGACATTTAATTGGTTCCTAGTTAAAACCAGGAGTTCTATTGTAGCATTGTAGGATAAGCTCTGGGCCAGATTGAACCACAAGGTTGGTGGTTCAAACTCTCTGTTTCTCGGGAACCATATACTGGGTCACTATGAATCAGAACAGACTCGACAGCACTTAACAATGACAAAAGCCAAAACCAGGCCAAAAGTAGATGGTGGAACAGACCATCAATATTCAGATGCAACGTAAGGCTGAAATTGAAGAAAATTAAAACAAGTCAATGAGAGTCAAATTTTGATATTTTACATACCCCACCTGAATTTAAAGATCATCTCAAGAAATGATTTGATTCATTAGACACTAATGACAGAGAACAGAAGAGTTGTGGGATGACATCAAGAACATCATACAGAAAGAAAGCAAAAAGTCATTAAGAAGACAAGAAAGAAGGAAAAGACCAAAATGGATATCAAAAGAGACTTTGAAACTTTCTCTCCAGCATAGAGATGCTAAAACAAATGGAAAAAAAATGAGGAAATTAAAGAGTTGAACAGAAAATGTCAAAGGGCAGCTCAAAAACAAATTAAAATGTTATAACACAATATGCAAAGACCTGGAGTTAGAAAACCAAAAAGGAAGAACATTTTCAGCATTTCTAAAGCTGAAAGAACTAAAGAAAAAATTCAAGCTTCTACCAGCAATATTAAATAATTCTATGGTCAAAATATTGAATAATGCAGAATGCAACAAAAGAAGATGGAAGAAATATACAGTCACTGTACCAAAAGAAAATGGACAATGTTCATTTCAAGAGATAGCATATGACAGTATATGATCAAAAAACAATGATAGTGAAGAAAGAAGTTCAAGGTACACTGAAAACATTGGCAAAAAAAACAAAAGAATCCAGGAACTGATGGGATAAAGATTGAAATATTTCAACAAATTAATGCAGCAATGGAAGCACTCACTCTTCTATGACAAGAAATTTGGAAGTCAGCTACCTGGCCAACTGATTGGAATAGATTCATCCATATTTGTACCCATTCCAAAGATAGGTGACCAGACAGAATGTGGAAATCATCGGAAATATCATTAACGCCACATACAAGTAAAGGTTTGTTAAGGTAATTTAAAAATGGCTGCAATAGTACATCAACAGGGAAGTTAAACCAGATTAAGACAAGGACATGGAAAGAGAGATATTATTGTTGATGTCAGATGGAACTTGCCTGAAATCATGAATACCAAAAAGATGTTTTACCTGTGCTTTATTGACTGTGCAAAGGCTTTTGACTGTGTGGATCATGACAAGCTCTGGACAACATTGTGGAGAATGAATATTTTGGAGCATTTCATTGTGCTCATAAGGAACCTGTACATAAACCAAAAAGCAATTGTTCAAACAGAACAAGGGAATGCTGAATGGTTTAAAATCAGAAAGGAGTGTGACACAGTTGTTTTCTTTCACCATACTTATTAAATCTGTACACTGAGGAAATAATGTGAGAAGCTGAATTATATGAAGAAGAATGTGGCATCAGGATTGAAGGAAGACTCATTAACATACTGCAATATGCATATGATACAATGTTGTTTGCTAAAAAAGAAGACTTAAAATACTGATGATCATCAAAGACCTCAGCCTTCATTATGGGTTGCACCTTAATGTGAAGAAAATAAAAATCCTCACCATTAGACCAATAGATAACATCATGATAAATGGAGAAAAGATAGGTGTTATCAAAGACTTCATTTTGCTTGGATCCACTATCAATACTCATGGAAGCAGCAGGCAAGAAATCAAACAGTGTATTGCATTAAACAAATGCGCTACACAAGACCTCTCTATAGTGTTCAAGATCAAAGATGTCATTTTGAGGGCCTACTTGTGCCTAACCCAAGCCATGGTATTTTCAAAAGGTTTATATGAATGTGAAAGTTGGACAATTAATAAGGAAGGCCGTAGACAAATTGATGCATCTGAATTATGGTGTTGGAGAAAAATATTAAAAATACCGTGGACTGCTGGAAGAACAAAGAGATTTGTGTTGAAAGAAGTAGAATGCTCTTTAGAAACTAGGATGGTGAGAATTTGTCTCTCATACTTTGGACATATTATCAGGAGGAACCAGTCCCTGGAGAAGAACATCATTTGGTAAAGTGGGGATCATCAAAAAAGAGGAAGAACCCCAACGAGGTGGACTGGCACAGTGGCAACAGCAGCAAACTCAAGCTTAGCAATGATTGTGAGGCTGTCCTGTGCTTACCCTACAGCACCATATCCGGCATCCATATATGTGTATTTTGTTGTCAAATGCCGTTGAATTGTTTCCAACTCATAGCGAATCTTTATAGGATTTCTGAAGAGAAGGTGATGAGTTTGAACCACTGACCTTGCGGTTCAAACCGACTTTGAGATTCAAACTGACCTTGTGGTCAACTGCTTACCCTACAGTGCCACACCAAGACTCCACTTACGTGTATAGGCATATGTGTACAGGACATATAAATTTAAGGAAGT